CCTCAGAGAAGCACCTCGACTGACGGGCTTGGCTCTCCATGAAAGGGCTCCTCATAGTTAACCCAGGAGCCTGGGCAGACTCTGGTCACTAGAGGAGGTGAGTGGCCTAGGGAGAGGCAGCCTGCAGGGCCCTGGGCTGGTCCTGCCTGCCAGAGCTGGGAGTCCAAAAGCTCTACAGACTGGAGACTGCTGAGAGATTGGGCTATAGGAAGTCTGGATCCTCTCAGCCAGTCTTAGACACTGTTCTCAAAGCAGAGTAAAAGGAAAGTGGGGCCTCTGTTATCACCATCCTCATTGGTACGAATTATATTTGCTACAGACCTAGAATCTCCCACAAATGTGTGTACATGTTTCAAAATGGAACTAGCTTGAGCTTTGAGGGATATTTGACTTCTATTTTAGCTTAGTCTTTTATTCATGCTTATTTTTATTGAGATTTAATAAAACAAACAAGTATGAAATCAACACTTCTTTTTGCAATGGAATCAGCAGAGTAACTGTTGACCAGAGGAGCTCCCATGAGCTGGAGAGAAGCTGTAGAAACTTGTTAACTTTCATGAAGAGATAGATGCCTGTCAGAGGGGCCAGTCTCTAGGAATAATTGAACAGTTAAGAACTGGCATTTATACAGCACTTTATAGTTTGTAAACCATTCTTTCACACTATTATCTCACCTAATCCTCCCAAACACTAAAGTGGAAAGATTATTTTACAGAAAAGGAAATTAAAGCTCAAATAGACCAAGTGTGCAACCCCAGGACACACAGCTGGAATCCAGGTCAAGGATGTGGTAAAAAGGGACTGAATTCTCTGTCACCTTGGATGCTCAGGCAACTGCCCATATCCCCTGGCCACTCAGACACCCAGTGATCCAAAGTGGGTCCTTTCTCTTCCTCCAGCCCTTGTGGCTGCCAACTCTGAGGCCAGGACTACAAGTTTGATTCCTATGAACAGCATAACCAGCAGGGACACTGCCACCATTTTGTACCTAGTCAAACACTTAGTACTTTCATTGTGGCCTAGGATGGCCCAGTTACATGGGGCCCCATGGCCTTGGTAAAGTAGGATCCAGAAAAAAATAAGAGAAATCCCTCCTCTCACACCATGCACCACTCACTCCCACACCATCTGCCTTGATTCCTCCACTGACAGTGATGTCCGGGGCAAGTACCTACATGCCTGTGTTTATTCACCTGTAAAATGGGAGAATAGCATCTTGCCTTCATCCCTCCCAGTGAGATTGGAGGCCCACTGAGCAGCAAGAGGTGGGGAACAGAGGTAACCTGCTGGTCTGGACAAGCCCAGAGCCAGGCCCAGTCTGCTGACCTGCTCTCAGGGAGCCTCCTGCTATGACAAGGCCCATAGCTGAGTGTCCTGCTCTGATCTCAGACTCCCAGGATCACATGAGTGTCAACAGGAGGAGCTGCCAGTGAGGCAGTCAGTACCATTACAACCAGCCCCCAAGGCCAGATGCCAAGGGCCATGTGTCTGCAGGTGTGAGGTAAGGCAGCCTCTACTCTTGACTTCCTGGCCAGCAATATGGTGGCTGTCCACTTTTAGGCAAAGAGGCCCTTACCCTATAGAAACAGAGTTCTAAGCCCCACCTTGTTTGCCCCCTATCGATCCAGTGATTATTTTAAACAACACAGTTCCTCTACAAATCTTCCTTTCCCCCAACTTTTTAAAGTCTGGGCTCTAGGGATATGAGTTGAATGATCTAGGATCCCAGGCCCCAGATAAACTCTTAAGATGGAACCTCAGTTTTCTGGAAAGCTTTTCTAGTTGCAGCCTTATGATGCCTGGGATGCCCACCACCTTTGGGTCCCTGGCCCCTGTGCACGGCAGCAAAGCTGCTGCCAGAGCCCGCAGGCTCTCCTAGGCCTTGACACCCAGACGCCAGGGCTCAGATCTGACCAGGAGCTCTGGTGTGATAGATCTGCCTAGATGTTTCCAGGAGACCTAAGTGAGCAGAGAGCCCAGGAACTACAAGGCACAGAACTAGAAGTGGTAGCATCAGGACAGACTTGCCCTACTAGTAAGCCAGGTACTGCTGAGGAACTCACTGATCCAGGAAACCAACTGTACCCTTTCCTCTGCCTCCTTGTGCATTATTACCCAGAAAAACAGCCCCTCCAGGCAGGTGGTCTGGTGAGGGGTTTCCAGAAGCTTACCCCATTTACCCAGAAGGACACTCTGGTGAGGGAAGAATTCCAGTGAGGAAGAAGAGAGGAGAGAGGGACACTGAAGCTTTCAAGACAGACAGAAGGGCCCTTAGGAAAATAAGGAAGATCTCTCCCATTGGAGGTATAGCTAAGGAATGGTAGGTCTGGCATGTGCCCTGGGCACCACTTGAAGGTGGGTGCCACTGAGCAGTTTCCATCGCCAGCTGTGAGAGATCATTCAGCAAGTTAAAAGTAATACTTTTGTATATGAGAGCCTCCATGGGTCACACTAGATTGTGTGATCTTTTCCTCTCCCCAAAGGGCTTATCTAGAGCAGCCTCATCCTGGAGTTATCTTGGCACTAAGGGACAGGAGGTAGTCTGTGGACAGAGAAACTTATTTCTTGCTATCTAGCCCAGGTCTCTGTGTGGACATTAATTTTAATGTGGTTATCTCCAATGAGCTGAAGAGTTCAATGAGCTGCTTGGAAAAGCAGCCCCAAAGAGGCCAGCCTGACTGCATTTCACTTCCTACTCCCCCTCTTTAGAGGCTCCTGTCATTCTTCTAGGTCCCCCCTTTGGGGTGGCCTCTCTCAGCTGAGGGCGGTCTCCTAGCCCACCTGCCTGGCCAATGCCCCTCCTCATCATGCTCTGCTCCACCCCACTACTTCTGATTCCAAAAATTCTGCTCTTTCCACAGCCGAGGATGACTACTAGGCAAGCCAGGTGGTGGGCCCAGCTGATGTGAGCTCATGCACTGGTGGCCACAGATACAGGCCATGTCCAAGGTGTGCTGCTCCCCAGGAAGTGTTTTGGGCATAATTCTCACTCACCTCAGGCTCTGGCACTGCATCTGCCCAGAAGGGCAGATGAGTGTAAAAAAAGAAGAAACTGAAAAAAATGACTTTGAGCACATAATAGATCAGTTTTCATTGGTGAAAGCAAAGAAGGTACAATTATAATCTTCACATAGTGCCATAATGGGTTAAGTAAAGATTAACAAACTTGAATTTTATTTTTGAGCTGATAGTACGGGAAAATTATCAAGATGATCGGTGTCAGATGTTTGGACAAGGGTGCAATTTCAGTGCTTGCCATGAGTGCTACTTTCTGTAGATATGCCTTTGCCACCCATCATCCATCAAAGAGAAATGTCTGCCATTAAGAGAACTAAAAGGAACCCTGGTGAAGCAATGGTTAAGCCTTCTGCTGCTAACCAAAAGGTGGAAACCACCAGCCACTCTGGAGGAAAGACCTAGTGATCTGCTCCCAGAAAGATCATTGTTGTTGTTGTTGTTGTTATGTGCCGTCAAGTTGGACCCAACTCATAGTGACCCCTCCTTGGGTTTCCGAGGTGGTGTAACTACAGAAGTAGATTGCCCCATCTTTCTTCCGCCCAGAAAGATTACAGCCTAGGAAACCCTCTGTAGGGCGCTGTTCTACTCTGTCCCATGGGGTCACTATGTGTCAGAATCAACTCCAAGGCACACAACAACTGATCTTATCTGTGGATTAAACCACTGCTTTTGTCAGCGTTCATGCCCCACTCATTGTCCCAGTGCTTTGAGGAATGCTCTCTCCAGGAAGAGCTGGCTTCCATGTCTCAGATGGGACCTGGGGCACATCCTTGGGCTTGGTGGAGTCTCTGCTTTCCAAATGGCAAAATGCAATGGGTTAGTCATGCCTCTGCTTCCCTGGGAAGTCATGAATGACTCAAGGGACAAGAGTTTCAACTCTTAAAAAAATAAGCTACAAATATCTGACATGGCAGTTGCTCAGTGAGGAACCAGAATTCATTCCTAAGCAAGTCCTAAGTCGACTATGTAGGTAAGTCAGAACAGGTGCTTATGGATCTTAATTTAGTCTTCGATTAGTGCAAGATAAGACTTAAAAACTTTTTTCAGTGATTTAAAAGCTGCACTTGAAACAAGTGAAGGTGATTGGGATGAAGAATTTGTTGCCAGTAGAGGTTGGTTCAATCGTTTCAAAATGAGGGCAAATTTATATGATATTAAAGAGCAAGTATAAATTGTTGTTAAGTTAGATGTTCCTAACCTGGGGATTGCTTCTACTCTCCCCTGTTTTGTTTTATTTATTTATTTTGGGCATTTTTAATAGAGGCATCATTTATGAATTTTTAAGAACCAAACTAATAGTACTCTTGGGGCCTGGGCTGGAGGGTGGTGCGCAGCTGCAACGGACGGTCAGCTCAACAGCACCTTGCAGGAAGACCAAAAGCTTTTCATTCGCCTGTCTGCCCTCCGTGGGTTAAGTTCTATGGCCTCAGGGCAATTCTGGAGTCTGCCGGCCGTCCGGAGCTTTGACCCTGGGTGGCACGACGGGAGTCGGTACTGCTAACCACGACCAGGCGTCCGGCCTCTGGGCCGAGGCACGTGGGGGCAGCGACACGGGGCCGCCCAACCGAAGCCTAGAGACCCGAGGGCCATTGTGCGGAGTTGGGCAAGCGCGCGGAGCAGCGGCGGGGAGGGGTTGACAGGTGCCGCGACGAACCTGTCCGCTGAGCACCCCAACTCCATTCCAAGGCCGCAGGCCGAGGCCTGAGACTTCCGGGGCCCGGGTGACTCTTCGGAGAGCTAGTCAAAGGACAGTCTCCCAGGTTGTGGATCGCGCGGCAGTCTCCTCGGCCGGGGTGAGGGGTAGCCGGGATCTCACAGGGGCAGCGGGCGGGCGGGTGGGGTGGAGTGAAGGCGGACCAGCCCCTTCTCCTCCCGCCTGGCCGTCAGCCCTCCCTTCCTCCCGGCCCTGCAGCCAATTAGACGCCCCCTCGGGCAGGAGGCGTGGGGAGCTTCATAAAGCCGCGCGGAGCTGTCACCCCGCGAGCAGGCAGCGCACCGCCCAGGCTGGAGCCGGCGCGCCGCAGACTTAGGCGCCTTGGCCAGGGAGCGTGAAGAGCCATGGCCACCACCAATGGGGCGGTGGAGAACGGGCAGCCAGACAGGAAACCGTCTGCCTTGCCGCGCCCCATCCGCAACCTGGAGGTCAAGTTCAACAAGGTGAGGTGGGCGCCCTTCCCACCCGACGGCCGCCAGACTCAGCTCTGGGCAGCCTGACCTAGGGAGACAGCGTCGTGCGCTCCGGGCTGGCAGGGCTGAGAGGCCAGCGGGCCGGGAGACCGGCCGCTTGGCCCCCGAGGGTGCCTGGGCGGCTCTCCTTCCGCACACTCCGCCAGGCGCTGCCAGACCCACCCGGAGACTTTCGCTGAGTCCCCACGAAGTCTCATTTACGCCAAGCATCCAGAGCGGGAATCCGCGCCCTGCGCGGAGACCCGCAACCTGAAGAGGGCTCAGCGATCTGTACCGAAGGCAAGCTTGCGGGAGTGGCGCGGCGCTCCAAGACTTCAGGCGGGCGGGGGCGACCCAGAAGTTCTCTTGCCTTCGGACGCGAGCAGATGTTCGCGGCCAGCGCGTCCCCGGGGCGTAGTGGTCCCCCCGCAGAACCTGGGGGATGGTTTCCACAGGGGGCTGAATGGGTCTGGCTTCAAGAGGGTCAGTGGGTGGCGGGCAACCCCAAGAGTCGTTTTGAGAGGACCGGCCACCTCGGAAGCTGCAACTTGGAAACTTAGGAAGCAAGTCATCGGTAACAGCAGGGAAATGTTGGGCACCTTCTGGTTAGCTTGTACCTAGGTTGCTAGGAGAACTAGAGGAAGTGGAAAGGTTCTCACTTGATGAAACTGCCGGGTCACGGAGGTCCAGGTGTTTACAGGCAAGAAGCGATATCCCCATGGCTAGAAAGGTCAGAGCGCCTGGGCCCTTAGCGCTTCGGGGCTCTGCGGCTCAGCTGCTTTCCGCTGCGAGCCAGAGGCTGAATCGACCACATAGCTGTGATATCACCTGCTTAGGGCAGAAATGAAGGTGGTGAGCCCCCCCCCCACCCGCCCCGGGCAGTGGGTGAGGTAGGCTAGGAGCCCTGCGCTAGGAGCGCGGCCGGAGAACACTCGCAGGCAGTTTAGGGGCGCGCTGCTTGCCCAGGCCGTTGATGGGGGCACCAACAAAGAGGCGCAGGCCAAGAGGTTCTGCTGGATTAATATTCCCCAACCTTGACTTTTTTGCGTTTTGCATCCCATCTCCCACAACTTCAGCTGACTTAGGGAATTCTCCCATCAATTTTAATTTCAAAAGTGGCAATTCTGTCTCTCAGTATTAATCAAGCGGAGAAAGAGTTGGGCCACTATGTGTGGCCTTCAGATTTGGGTTTCTTGGCACTTAATTTCCAATGTCAGCCTTGCCTCTGATCACATGACATTTAAATTAAGTGTTTTCAGCGAGCTCTGTAATCTAGAGAGACACATTTCAGTAAATGCTGGAGATTATGTTTAATGTAGTTTCTTTAGGAGTATCAACTCCAGAGCAAAAATTCCAACACATATTCTGGGAACCGTGAGAATATCACCTTAGTTTTTTCAGAACCTAACATTATTTAGGGGGATCTGGTAGCATAGTGCCTAAGGCACTGGACTGCTAACCAGAAGGGTGACGGTTCAAACCCACCAGCCACTCCTCGGAAGAAAGACTGGGCAATCTACTTCTGTAGTGATATTGCCTTGGAAACCCAAGGAAGGATCACTATGAGTAGGGTCCGACTCCACAGCACATAACAACAACAACACTATTTAGGGAATACTAAATAGGTAGTGCTCTGGTAGTGTAATGCCTAAGGCACTTAACTGCTAATCAGAAAGCTGGTGGTTCAAACCCACCAGCCACTACTAGGAAGGTTGGGCAATCTACTTCCGAAGTGATACCACCTCGGAAACCCAAGGAGGAGTCACTATGAGTCGGTCCCATTGGAGGGCACATAACAACAACAATATTGTTGGGTTCTCTCCCCCACACTTTAGGATTTAAAAAAAAAAAAAAAACCTGTGTAAGAACCAGAAAGTAAATATATTATTACACTTTTACTCTCTTTACCTTCTTGGTCCTAGCAAAGTGATCAGTTCTGGTAAGAAATTATTTCCTTCTTTTTCTATGATTCTTTAAGACCACTGAAAAGTCCAAATGCAGCCCTTATGGAGGAGGATCTTGCAAGGGTCACAGAGCAACAAGTATCTGCCAACTTGGTACCCCTTTCCTCTTTTGCCAGTTGAGAAAAACCAAAAAAGTTGTGTGTGTGATTAAAGCTGAGTAAAGGCAGTGAGAAGGAAAGGGCTGGAGAACCAGAATTCGTAGTGGGCATCAACAGAGAGAAGGCCCTCCTCACTTCAGCTGTGGACCACTGCTCCTGGCCCACCTCTACAGAGGGCTCTGCATAGCAGGTTGTGTGTTGAGCAGCCACTGTGCAATGTTTACGGAGCCTCCACTTACAGAGAAAGGTGAGAGGCCCAAGGAAAGAACAAGTGGGAGAAACAAGATTGCCGACTGGAGGCCCAGGGCAGGCAGCCGGGAGAGGTGGAGTGTATGAGTCTTACTTTTCAAAACTGGCTCATGATACTTCTTGCTAGTAGAAGACACAGCAAAGATGGCCCGTTCTGGTCCTTCTAAGGCCCGGCCTTAGCAGTGCCATTTCCCAGGATGGCCCAACTTTCAGAAGGAGGATTTTGTCAGAGCCCTTTTATTGGCCCTCACATTTTTACATTGGACTGTCTGGGGTCATGCTGTGTGGTTCCAGTGAGTGGAATCCCTCCACAGGTCTCAGATGTAGCAATCCTTTTTGCTTCATGGGGCCTCTTCCTTTCCTTATAAAACTACTTATAGTGGCAGAGATTCTCTTTAAGTTTTTCTGGTTCATTAAAACACCTGTTTCATCTTCTCTTTTATGAAAAGTAAAATTACCTAAATTTCCCTTTTTGAAATCTACATAAATACCCTGAAAACATACTTGCTTTTGAGTTTAGCTGAGCAGCCTCAGCATCTAGTAGAAGTTATTGGAAATGATGTCAGAAGAATTCACTTGTATGACCACCATCACTATCTTCACCTCCACTTAGGCAGCTCTCTCCTCAGAACAGCCGTGGTATTCCAGCCCAAACTGGTTCCATGTCATTCTGTTCCTTCCATAAAAGGTGAATTCCCTCTACAGTTCAGTATAACTTCATTTTATACCTCTGAAAATCTTGCTTCATACAAATTTGCAAGTCAGGGGAAATAATCCCTCTCAAGACCTTTTATGCTGACTCAGAGTTCAAAAAATATAGCATATATAGCAGACTAAAGTCACTCACCCCCTCCTAATTTGTGTTTTTGTTTTGTTTTAGTGGCGAGAAAGTCAAAAGCAGAAACCACTTATGGGATTACTTTTTTAGTATATATAAAAAATGCTAAGCTGGAAACATTGTAATGGGAAAATATGGTCAGGGAGTCTGAATTTCTTTTAAACGTTGCTGGCTAGAAAGGTTTTAGGAATCAATGTCATGAACGACCAAATAATGGGTTTTTTTGGAGTCACATGCTTGGAGATGAAGTATAACGGACATCTGATCATTGCACTCTGTTTCCATCGCCCTTATTTATATTCTCTTCCACCACCTTCTCATTTTCCTTCCCCCTTGGAACTGATACCAGGAAGGACCTAGAATCAGCACTTTTCACTGACAGTCTATTATCTAACCCACGAAATTTCATCTTCCTCTTGCTGGCTGCTCTTTCCTCCCTGCGCTAACTGAACTCCTCTTCTCCACTTATTAATTTCTTGCTGTTACTGAGTGATTACTTGCTGGATGGCAAAAGTGAACTCTTGGATTTGGTTTCAGCTGGAAGAATAAACCTGTAATTGTAGCCTGGCCTGTCCCCACATGCTTCCCTGGGGGCCTGGCCTCATGTTGAAGGTGCTGAGTTTTGAGGAGTCGGGTGGGCATATCCCATCTGCTCAGGAATGCTCTCAGCTCTGGATCCCAAACTGGGAGAGGGTGACCCCACCAACCTGGCCAGCCAGAGCCTATCTCCTGTGCTATGTCCACCAGACACAGACTTCCCGGCTTTCCACAGAGAGTTGGCAAAATGGGGCTCACCAGCAGCCTCCAGATGGGGCTTCCTTCCTGATGTGCTGCAGAATCCATGCCATTTGAAAGCCCATTATAGGGAACATAACCAACCTACACATCTGATGAAACAGTCCCCTCTCTCATCTGCCATCATTGGGAATCAAGTGTACCAAATGAATACATTTTACAATAATTGAAATTAGCCCTTGTAGTGATGCAATTTAAAGAATTTGAAGAGAAGTGAACCAAACCAACCTCGGAAGGAAGGTTGGGCAGTCTACTTCTGTAGTGATACTGCCTCAGAAACCCAAGGAGGGGTCGCTATGAGTCGGGGCCGACTCAACGGCACATAACAACAGCAACAACAAACCAAACCAAAACCAAACTCAATGCTGTCAAGTCAGATCCAACTCATAACAACCCCTCCTTGGGTTTCCGAGGCAGTATCACTAAGGAAGTAGATTGCCCAACCTTCCTTCTGAGGAGCAGTCAAATGCCTTAGGCACTACGCCACCAGGGCTCCCTGAAGTAAGGAATATAGAAATGGGATTTGATGAGCTAGTTCTATGCTTACAAATTACTGATCATATTTTATTTGATGGAAGTTCTACTTCTTTTTATTATTATTATTTAATTTTAGTTTTGGTGAAAATGTACACAGCAAAATCCATTCTTCTTCCATAGTTTCCAGGCATAACAATCAGTGACACCGGTTACATTCTTTGCATTATGTCAACATCCTCTTTATCTCTGTTCTAGTTGTTTCACTTCCATTTACTTAATCTCCCTGCCCTCCCCAAACTTCTCATCTATGCTTTAAAATAGCTGTTGATCCTTTGGTCTTATATAGATATATAAGCAAACTTTGGAGATATTGCCAGACCACTGCAATAAAGCAAATATGGCAATAAAATGAGTCACATGAATTTTTTGGTTTCCCAATGCATATAAAAGTTATGTTTACACTATGTTATAGTCTATTAAGTGTGCCATGGCTTTATTAAAAAGTTTGAAATATTGCAACAATTACCAAAATGTGACACACAGAGATGAAGCGAGCACCTACTATTGGAAAAATGATACCGATAAACTTGTTTGACGCAGAATTGCCACAAACCTTGTTTGTAAAAAAACGCGGTATCTGTAAAGTACAAAGGCAAAGTGCAATAAGACGAGGTATACCTGTACTTTTTTTTTTAAATGCAGTACTTAAGAGTGAGAATCTTTACTCTTTGGGCTAAACTGTTATTTAGTTTAAAGATAATGTCAGGAAATAGTTTCAATTCAAGGTTTGAAGAACAACACAGGGTGATGGAAGTGCTTCTAAATCCTCTTACCAATTCCCATAACTGGTGTCTTTCTGAACCTGAATGGGCTTTGAGGACAAGGTGGAGCGGGAGGACTATGTCCTTTCACCAAATGAGACCTCCACACAGTCAGAATGTGTTTTATATGTTCTCTGTCACCTCTGTTCCTAGTTTTTTTCCAGAAATGCTTCTCTCTTTTAATGTGATCATTTCAAAGCAGTTAGAAATTAGAGTAAACTAAGACTAAATAGTACCTACATTTCAATGTATGGACTTTGTGAATTCTTGTGATGGATGGTGTCTTTTTTTGTTTTAATGGTCTTATTTTTGGCTGTGTTTTATGTTCTGGTTAATTCTTGGGTCTGGATATAAATGTTTTTTGGTTTTTTTTTTTTCCTACACTTCTTAATATACTCACTGCTCTCGAGTTGGTCCTAACTCATAGCAATCCCTCCTTGGGTTTCCAAGGTGGTGCCTAAGGCACTTGACTGCTAACCAGGAGGCTGGCGGTTCAAACCCACCAGCCACTCCTCGGAAGGAAGGTTGGGCAATCCTACTTCTGTAGTGATAACTGCCTCGGAAACCCAAGGAGGAGTCGCTAGGAGTCGGGGCCAACTCGATGGCAAATAACAACATCTCTATGGAAGTAGATTGCCCAATCTTCCTTCTGAGGAATGGCTAGTGGGTTTGAACCACAAGCCTTCTGGTTAGCAGTCAAATGCCTTAGGCACTATGCCACCAGAGCTCCTACATTTCTTAATATAATCTGAAATTTTGTAACCTAGATATTTATCTTTGTCTTTCAAAAGTGAAGTTTTGAAACTGAAGTCCACTTTGCTTAATTAGGTCCACTATAGACATAGATATTTTAAAGAGGAGCTGGGAGGGTTCTGATGTGTGTTAATGAAGACAAAAAGGTATGGTAAGATCCTTGTGAAAAATGAGTTCCTTGGCAATCTCTTTGGGGGGTGCAACAAGGGCAAGTGATTATTTGGCACTTTATACACACACACGCACACACACACACACAAGGAGCTCTGGGGCCATAGTGGTTAATGCAGTCGGCTGCTAACCAAAAAGTTCTGCAATTTGAACCCACCAGCTGCTCCATGGGAGATGATGAGACAGTCTGCTTCTGTAAAGATTTACAGCCTCGAAAACCCTATGGGGCAGTTCCACTCTGTCCTAAAACGGTTGCTTTGAGTCAGAATCAATGACGGTGGGTTTGGTTAGGAGATTTTATATATATATATATATATATATATATATATATATATACTCATTGCCACCAACTCATTGCCACCAACTCATAGTGACCCCTACTGGGTTTCCAAGGCTGTAAAATCTTTATGGAAGCAGACTGCCCTTTCTTCCATAGAGTGGCTAGTGGGTTTGAACCTTTTTTTGGTTAGTAGCCAAATGCCTTAACCACACCACCAGCAGAGCTCACGCTTGCTTGCTCACATGCTGTACTTCTCTCTTGTGCCTCTTTCTCTGCTTTCTCTCTCTCCCTCCCTCCTTACTTTCCTCCCTCTCTCCACCCCCCTCTTTAACCTTCCCCCAAACTCTATGAGAGTGTGGAGTTCAATTTACTCCCTTTATTAAATTCAATTATTCCTCTGTGAATCCATGTTATTGCTTAAAAAAAAAGGGGAGGGTTTTAGAAAAACAATTCCAAGTGATGTTAGTTTTATTTTGACAAAAGCTAATTCTCCAAAGATGTATTATGAATCAGGAGAGGTGGATTCAAATTCTAAGTCCATTCCTGGTCAGCCATATGACTGAGTGTTGGGGGGCAGACAGGGAGGAAGTGGAGAAGGGTCAGACAAGACGTTACCTAAGGCTTTTCACATGTTAAAATAATATGATTTTGATTTAAACCTAATGCATTGCAACCTTCTTTCCTGGTTAGATATTTATCAACAACGAATGGCACGAATCCAAGAGTGGAAAAAAGTTTGCCACGTATAACCCTTCAACTGTAGAGAAAATATGTGAAGTGGAAGAAGGAGATAAGGTGGGTGCTTTTTTTTTTTGAGTCATTCAATAACAGACAAGTGAAGGATGAGGAAGCGGTTTGGCTCAGCTATAAGACAGAACTGGCCCACACTCGGGTTGAGGCCTGGGCTAGCTGCACTCAGCAGACACATGGCCCAGAATGGGATCAATTATGACACCCTGCTGCAAACACCAGCCCTCTCCTCTGATAGATGTTTCTGCATCTATGAGGATGACCTCAGCTATCCACGTCATATGGCTCAAGGAAAGGTTTTTATCAATTATTTGAACCTGGATGCATTACAGAATCTTTCCAGAAAAGATTTCCGGCTGGTGTGTTTCACAAAATGCAGCGTTGTAGCAGGAGACACTTAAAAAATAGACTTGAAGGAAAAAAAAATGTCTTGCTGACCAGGTGATGGGGATAGTGCCACGTAACTGCCAGATTTCTTTTCTACCTGTAACTTACATGATTATGTAAAGTAATCCTATTTTGTAGTTCAGGGCATGTATTATAATATAATATATGTGGGTGTGTCCTTTATAAATTTCAAGGTCAAAAAGTGTATGTTGCATGTAACTATTATAGCAGGGAAGGTAGAAGCCCTAATGGTGCAGTGGTTAAGTACTCAGCTGCTAACCTAAAGGTTGGTGGTTTAAATCCACCAGCTGTTCCACAGGAGAAAGATGTAGCCGTCTATTTCCATAAAGACTTCAGCCTTGGAAAACCCTATGGGGCCATTGTCCTGTAGGATCGCTATGAAAATCGACTCCATAGCAATAAGTTTGGGCAGGGAAGGTTAAAGATGAAGCTTTTCTAAGCCAGTGCTCCTTGACATTCTTAGTGAGTGTACTATTAATGTTGAACTTGGATGAGGTGAATGACTAATATGTAAAATAGGCTTTAATTGTATCCTACCAGTGATAGTTTTTCCAAAGGTGTCCAATACACAGGGGTTCTGCATGTAGGTAACCACCTATGTCTAATGCCTCATGATAAGCTCTGTTTGTAAAGAAAACATGAGAGCAGGGAGAAGTGGCATGGGACTGAGGGAGCATCCAAGTTGAAGATCCCAGGGGCAGAGAGCTGCACAGGTGTTGGGAAGGAAAATGAGACTCCGGTCCTAGGCTCCTGTTTTCCCTTTTCTGTGTGACTGCTCTGAGCACACACACAGAAGCCACCTCATTCTCTACAGTTGGAGAGGTTCTGGCAAAGCCAGCCCTCAAGCCAGAACCCAGACAAGAAATGAATTCAAGACCCCAATGTCTTCTTTGCCAAAGCTTCTGCTCACCCCTACGCAAGCTTTTTAGGAAACCTGAGGTGAGAGTGTGGATACATGCAGTGGAAACTTTTAATGTTTGTTAGTAATTTGTAAATTACTGAGCCCTGGCAAGTTTGTAATAGTTGTTATTCAAAAGAAAACAAAAGCTTGGAGTGAGGTCTTGGGGGAGTCACTCCTGATTATGTCCTGCTCCAACTCAGCAGGAGAGAGACTTGAAGGGGCCTTGGATATGAGTTAATACCTATCATTGACCATAAATAAAAATAAAAATAATATTAGTGACATTACTCTAAATAACTCTCAACATCTTTCCTTTTAAGAAGGGTCTTCTGTAATTCTATTAGTACACAGAAGATGCATTCCTTGACTGTAAAATGGTGCATAATTTGGCCCCCATGGGTGGGGTGAGACTGTAGGAAGAAGGCCTGAGGGATAGCACCTGTACTTACCTGTCTGCTAACTTTTCCAACCTGGACAGTTCTCAGTTTTGGAGGACTCATTCTCCTGTTCTCCCTGTGCGAATACAGTTCTCAGCAGGAATAAGGTCTAAAGACAGGTATTTCCCACCTAATTTGTGAACTGTAGCATTAGGGATTATGTGTATGTTCAAGCCTACTGGTAAGGGAAAAATCTTTTCCTACTTGGGTCACCAAGAAAAATACTTATTTTATAGTTTTAATAGATATTTTATAGTTTTCAGCATTATAGTTTAATACAAGTAGTCCCTGATTTGTGATGGGTTCCCTTCTGACAATGCCATGTAATTTGTAAGTCAAATACCTCTTTTTTTTTAAGTTTTCATTAGTGTTGCCTTTTATTATCAGTACCTTTGTAAATCTGATCTTTATTTGTCTCTAGGAATTAGAAACATTAACTATAAACTTACAGATATAATGACACCAGCCAATTATATGCTGCATATTGCAAGTTACATATTACTAACAATCAAATGTACAAAAAAACATGGGTGGTTGTTAAGTGTCCATAAGTGCCATTTGTCATAATTAGAAAATTGTAAGTTGGAGACTACTTGTTTAATGCAATACAATGTAATATAATATAAATTACATAATCTATAATATATAAAAGTCGATGCTGATTCATAGTGACCCCCATTGGGTTTCTGAGACAGTAACAATATATAAAATATAATATAGTAGTATATTTATAAGAAATATGTAATATATTATGTAATATATATATATGGTGTTCTGATGGAGCAATGGATAAAGTGCTAGCTTGGCTGCTGACTGAAAAGTTGGCAGTTCGGAATGGAGTCTGGTGGGACTCCCAAGACTATGGCCCTGGGATATACTTTGGCCCTGCGATAAGACTCACTCCTAAGGACTGGCTCTCAGCCCAACAGTAGTAAGACTTACACACAGAACACCCAACCAGGACAGTACACCCACCTACTCTATGGAGATACACCCCTTGGAGCAATTGGCCATGGGGCACCAGAGGGGCAGCATTTTGCTGGAGGGAAAGTTGGACAGACAGGAGTGCATAACTAAGAAGGGCACAGGGGTGGGGGTGGGTCACGGGGCAAGGAGAAGAGGAGCGTGGGTTAGGGCTGGGGATGGTGATCGGGGAGTGAAACCAAATACACATGAACTGTTGAATGTAAAACAATTTCTGCTCTGTAAATTTGCACCACAAGGACAATTAAAAAAAAAGAGAAAAGTTGGCCATTCAAACCTGCCAGCAGCTCACTATGAGCCAGAATCAATTCCATGGCACATGAAACAACAACGTGCATATTATAATATTATGTTATATATAATTTTATGTATTATGATATGATACATTTTTGTATATATCATATATTATACTAACTTATATATTATAATAAAGGTATTTTATGATACTTTTAAATGCTTTTCTAATCATAAAAAGGGAGCTCTAGTAGCATAGTGCCTAAGGCACTTTACTGCTAACCAGAAGGCTGGCGGTTCAAATCCGCCAGCCACTCCTCCAACGGAAGGTTGGGCAATCTACTTCCGTAGTGATACCGCCTGGGAAACACAAGGAGGGGTCTCCATGAGTCAGGTCCGACTAGAGGGCACATAACAACAACAATAACAATCATTAAAAAAGTCCTTCTTGATCACTGTAGAAATTATCAAACAGCTGGGGCTCTCTGCCCACCTGCCTTCCCCACTTGCTGCGTACCACCTGGTGGATGCATGCGTTCTGCTGTTCTGTGACAGACTGCACAGCCTTTCCAAACTACAGTCACATCAGAAGGTGACACCCATTCTCTGTTGTTCTGGCCCTGCAGCCTGACGTGGACAAGGCGGTGGAGGCTGCCCAAGCCGCCTTCCAGCGGGGATCACCGTGGCGCCGGATGGATGCCCTGAGCCGGGGACGGCTGCTGCACCAGCTGGCAGACCTTGTGGAGAGGGACCGTACAATTCTGGCCGTGAGTGTGGCTGCCCACCTCCACTCCATCTCACCTTACTCCACCCCACCCATGGGCAGCCGTCGTCTGAGGGTGGGGGAGGAAAGTAGATGCAGGGCACTGGTTTTGTGTGGTAGTAGATCTGTTCCACCCTTACAGGTTGTAGCTCTCTGGCCCTATCTTGATATTACCTGTACATTTATGTACTTAACATTTGTCTTTACACTAACTCCCTTTTAAACTTAAATTTAACCTCGTCATAAGTGACAATATTCATGAAATCACTGATTTAATATGCTACTTGTATTTTTTCTAATGGTTATTAAAACAAATGCCATCACTTAACACAGAAAAAAATGTCCCTGTATCAGCTAAAACAATACCCTGTATCATTCCCTGAACTGGACACTGGTAAGTGTGTGTGGAGTGGTAGTAAGAGTAAGATAACCTGGTTATAGGAAACCTAAAAATATGAAAGACATGAGTTCAAATTCAGGTTCTACCGCTTACTTACTCTGTGACTTCAGACTAGTTACTTAACCTCTCCATGTAAAGTGTCACTAAGTATCTAAGTGTGAGAATGTTACATGTGCCTAAGGCACTTGACTGCACTTGACTGCTTAACCGGAAGGCTGGTGATTCAAACTCACCAGCCACTCCTTGGAAGGAAGCTTGGGCAATCTACTTCCATAGTGATACCGCCTGGGAAACCAAGGAGGGGTCGCTATGAGTCTGGTCTGTCTCAAAGGCACATAACAACAACAACAACAACAAGCACTAAATAGATGATAGCCATTATTAGTATTAAAAAAAACAAACTCCAGACTCACTGCTGGCGAGTTAGGTCCAACTCATAGCAACCTCTCCTTGGGTTTCCAAGGCAATACCACCACAGAAGTAGATTGCCCAACCTCCCTTCCAAGAAGTGGCTGGTGGGTCTGGTTAGCAGTCACATGCCTTAGGCACTAGGCCACCAGAGCTCTTGATTATTAGTATTAGTAATCATAATAATGCTATTCTATCTAACTCCAGCGACATGCCCACCTACCTGGCCAGTAATTTCTAGACAGCTTAGTTCCTCAGCTATAAAATCGGGAGAATAACTCAGCCCACTTCATGAGATTGGATCACTTCCTTGAGATGGGGCTGGGAAGTAATTTATGAGTTCTAAATGTATTGTTTAATGGGATCCTCAGACCTTCCTTTGGTCTTGAGGTGGTGGCTAGAGGTGCCTTGAAGACCTTTGCAAACTGCCCATCCAGCCCTGGTATGGTTTAGTCGTCTGTTGACAACTTGCTTCCAAACTTGAGGCCCAATTCATAGAGAGGAAATCTCCTTTTCGGCCTTAAGATTTGGAAATATCATTCTTCCCTATTCCCCTCCACCCCCCACTGTATTTTTTTTTTCCTTCACCCAAGTGAATATTGTCTATTTTCTAGTTAGTGGTTTGCCCTCCCTTCCCCACACACCCCTGGCAATCATCAAAGAATATTCCTTTTTTGTGAAACATATGTCTTGATTTTTTACAATAGTGGTCTCATACAATATTTGTCTTTTGTGATTAACTAACTTCACTCAGCAAAATGGCCTCTAAGTTCATCCATGTTATGAGATGTTTCATATATTCATCATTGTTCTTTAATTCTTTAATGTTACGTAGTATTTCACTGTGTATATGTACCATAGTTTGTTGATCCATTCTTCTATTGATAGGCAGTTAGATTGTTTCCATCTTTTTTTTTTTAAATTATCATGAATAGTGTTGCGATGAACACAGAATACATATATCACATTTATTCCTTTCTTGATTTGATGTTGAGAACTAGCAATGCAATGACCACCCTGTTAAAGGACTTAGTTAGCAAGGAAACTGAAATTGTTTTTGTCATAGAATTTGTTTAGTAGGAGTTGAGGGTAAAGGAACTCTCAGTTCTGCCCTCAGATGCCTTTCCCCAAGGGTACATCTGCACTGAAACTCTTGCTCCTTCCTTCTGCCTCTCCCCATCCTTCTTGAAATGTTTGACAGAGTCAGGGCGAGGGTAGCACCCTCCCAGTAAGTGCTTCTCTACACAAAGCCCCTGGTTTCTTCCTGCAAGGAAAGCCAGCCTCAACTCTCAAGCTGCCAAACTGGCTTTTTCAAAAACATTTCTGTTTTCACCCAGCATGAGCTCATCTGTCTGCAATGTCCGTGTGGACTAATAACAGATGGGAGAGGATATGCCCTGGGCACCCTCCCCACCCTGTCCTCAAGTGTTAGTATCATCTTAGGAAACAGCACCCAAGAAGCTACCTTACTTCCATGGTGTTCTGAAAACAGGAGAGCTGGAGGATCGCTGGACTCACCCTAGCACCTCATTCCCACCAGTGGGACCTTATGCCCACAAGGAATCAGACCCAGTTCTCTGCTCCAACATGAAAGAGACAAGAGAATGCTGGCAAATATGGTTTTGAAAACCCCTGACCACATCACAGGGCAGTGTGCCTCACTCCCCACCTTGATATGGTTTCCTGCATTTTCACACAGGAAAGTGCTTCTTTGGTCATGTTCTCATGCTGGGTTGGCGGTTCCCACATAGCTGGGTATTTATTTCTGTGTTTAGTGCCTGGGAACAGATGTGGGAGGATCAGTAGTCCAGAACCTCTCTCTCTTGCTGAGGTGCCCCTGGTCTCAGATTGTGGCTCTTAGATTATCATTTTGGGGGGTCCCAAAAAGAAGTCCTCACTGTTTACTCTCTGACCTGAGCCCTATTCTGGGACCCCTCATTTCAAGCCATAACCATGCAGTGGGCAGGATTCCAAGTACTTTTGCTTCATTCTTTAGAATCTGAGGCCTGTGATGTATGCATATGTCAGCAAGTATATATATATATATATATACATGTGTGTGTGTGTGTGCGCGTGTGTGTGTACACACACACGCGCACACACACACAAATACATACATATATATGTATTTGCTTAAAACATTAAAGGAAGAGTTGCTGTGATTTACTTATGGTAAAGCCACAGTAGCATTTTCAGAGGTGACTACGCCAAACAGTTGCTAACACCTGGCAGTTTCTCAGGTTCAGCCCCATGTACTCCTTCCTATTTTTTTTTTTTTTTTTTAAAGAACTTCCTTTCTAAACCTATCATGATCTAAATTTTGCTTAGACAGATTCCATAAATCCAACCTGCCAAATTCATTTTATCAAGCCAGTAAGCAAAGAACCACAATGCCTGAATTAATGATAAAAAATAGCCAAAGCTTATGAGTGCCAAGCCTGTTGCAGCCTCTTGACCCACAGTATTTATTATCCCACTTCACAGATGAGGGAACTGAGGCCCAGAGAGGTTAGCTTACCCAGTGAGAGTTGGTGAGCCAGGATTGGAATCATCTCCACACCCTGCACTTACCCATGGGGCTGTGCCCCAGTCTTTCTCACCTTTTTCCCATGCAGAAGAGGGCAGAGAGCAGCTCAGGCTTCCACTGACAGATACACAGATACCACCTGGAGTGGCCCTGTGTTGGAGATCACATTGGCTTGTTTGCAATTATTAGGTTTTCTCTGAGAAAATAAAAGTTCAAACTTGGAATCTAAATCAATAGGAGCCCAACCTACAGGGTACAGGATGTCAAAGTGGTCTGACCTGCCCCTCCAGTGGCCTGTTCCAGGGATGAAATGTGTTACAGACCCAGGTCAGCCTGGCATTTCCAGCAACCCACAGCCCTATTCCTCGATGTGCTCAGATGAGGACTGCCAAGCACCTATCTAGTGCCTAAAAGGAAGACAATAATAATAAACATAGCTATTATTATTTTCATTTTTAACATTTACATAGTACTTACTATGGACAGGCATTAACTGTGTTATTAATGCTATAAGGCTATGGACTCATTTAACCCTCACAATAACCCTGTGAGGTAACCAGTTGCCATTGAGCCAACTTCTATTCATGGCAGGCCCATGTGTATCAGAGAACTGTTCTCCATAAGGTTTTCAGTGTTAAGCATTTGCACCATCCAGGGACTTCTGAGTAGGTACTATTACTTTTCTCATTTTGCACATGGGGAAGCTGAGGCTGGAAGAGGTTCAGGGACTTGCCCAAGGCCACTCAGCTAGGGTCCATTGAAAGTTGTTGCCTCAAGTTTAGAGAATACTCATCTCATACCTGGGGCGGGGGTCTCTATGCATTGGAATCAACTTGATGGCAGTGAGGTTTTTTTTGGGGGGGGGGGGGGGATAAAAAAATTGCCCAACAGAGAAACCCAGCACCTAGTATTTCTGTGCTGGAACATTTTCAGTTGCAAGTGTGGGGTGACCTCAACCACAGAGCAGTATTGTGCTGATTAGACATCAGAGGCCCAGATTCAGGGCCAGCCATGCTGTTGGCTCACAGGGCAACCTTGAACAAGTCATCAGGCTCTGTTAGTCTCAGTTTCCCTACTTTAAAGTGGGAATCATGATGTCACACTCAGCACAGAGCACTAGCAAGTGTGAGCTGAAATGGATCTGTGTGCACTGTGAATTAAAGCCTCTCCCTCACAGTGGCCTTTTTCCTTTGTAGACCATCCTCCCATCCCATTGATGCTGCTACAAGAATCCAGCCCTGGGCAATGTGTCAGGGTGGCCACTTCCTGCTGCGAGGGGTGACTGGCAGGTTCAGTGCTGGGTGCACTGGGGCTGCTTGTCTGAAGACAAAGGGGTTCTCTTAGACTCAGACTGGACATGGAAAAGAATCCTGCCATTGAGTGCCATTATCCAGTCCTTGCCCTGGGTAATCACCTCCCTCATGATCAGGGAAGCTCTGCTCAGTTCTGGCACTGTGTCTAGCCTTTGAAACACAGTTGGGGGTGTACATCTCTGTGCTGGTGGCACAGCCCCTTTGTGCTCTGTCACTCTTTCCACGGCCAGCTTAGTAGAGAAGGAAGAGTCACTGTCTTCCTTGGCTTTTTCATGAAAGATGTGTTGGTCCTGAGAAGCTGGCCCTTACTCTAGCTACCCCACAGCCAGCTAACTGCTGAGTTTTCCTGGGAATTACAAGCCCCAAGGGCCAGGGTACCTAACTGAGCCAATTCTTCAGCGGCAGGGATCCAGGTGAGGGGAGGGAACCCAGGCCACGCCCCACAAGCAGCAAGGCAGGAAAGCAGAGGCAGGGGAAGGCCACGGGGGCTGGAATAGACCGAGGAGGCAGCAGCAGGGATCCAGGTAGGGGGAGGTTGAAGAGGTTTTGAACAGCTAAGGGGGACAAACTTGTCTCTCGGTTTGTCCTACTGTGGTGACGTGTTGCTGTGAGTCTTGAGGCTGTGCCACTGGAGTTTCCAACCCAGTGGGGTGCACATGATACACAGGTTTCAGCGCGGCTTGCAGACTGAGACAGACTAAGAAGAAGGAAGAGGCCATCCACTTCTCAAAGAACTGGCCAAGGAAAACATTCTTCTCCCAAAAAGGTCAAATGCTAAAGTGTATTCCTTCCAGTGAGGCTTGAATCAGCCCCACATCTGAGCAGTCCCTGGGAGGCACAAGTAACAGGTGCCTGCAACCTGCCAGCTGCCCATCTCTAGGTATTTTGAGATACAAGCAGTCCTTGCCAATCTGGAACAGATCTTATTTAAGTTGTGTTGTTAGTTGCCATTGAGTCAGCTCTGACTCATGGCAACCTTATTTGTAACAGAATGAAACATTGCCCAGTCCTTTGCCATCTTCATAATTGTCAGTATGTTTGAGTCCATTGTTGTGGCTGTTGAGTTAGTCTATCTCATGGAGGTTTCCCTCATTTTCACTGACCCTCTATCAACCATGATGTCCTTTTCTAGCAACTGGTCTTTTCTACTGACATGTCCAAAGTAAGTGAGCCGAAATCTCACCAGCCTTGTTTCTAAGTTCAGTGTCTTACTTTTCAAAGAGATGCATATGACTGAGAGGTCCACAGAGCAATGCCTAAGGACTGTGTTCTCTCCCCACCACCCCTGCCTTTGCCATCCTGACAGTTAAAAAGAGAAGAGTGGTATCTGAGAGTGTGGTTTGTCCTCTTGTTATTGCAGACCCTAGAAACAATGGACACAGGGAAGCCATTCCTTCATGCCTTTTTCATTGACCTGGAGGGATGCATAAAAACCCTCCGGTACTTTGCAGGGTGGGCAGACAAGATACAAGGCAGGACCATCCCCACAGGTAAGCCATGGCAGGACTGGGCCTCAGTGGGGTGGCCCTTCTGGGGCTCTGCTTTCCCTCACCCCAGGGCATCCTTCCCAACCCTAAATGGACATGTCACTGGGCTGGTTCTTCTCTTTCTAAGGAGTTTTACTTTTGAATTTGAGTTAAAATCTCTTCTTTGGTTCATGGACAAGGTGTGGTTCATTGACATCCTTGTGGGCTTCTTGGTTTCTCACTTGTCTTTTGACTACCAGGTTAATGCAAGTGTGCTGTTCTCCCCATTCAACCTCTCTTCCAGATGACAACGTTGTGTGCTTCACCAGGCATGAACCCATAGGTGTGTGCGGGGCCATCACTCCTGTGAGTATGGTAGCTTTTCTAAACAGATTCTAAATAGATCCTGTCCCCCTTCCCCATAGATTTTGAAACAAATTTCTACTGTGTTTGATTCAATTACACCAGCATTAATTGAGCACTTTCTTAGTGGCATGGAGCTTGAGGCTTAAGGGATATGGAGTTAACTTAGACCCCATCCCTGCTCTCAAGAGGCCAGTTCTGAAAGTGCAATGGCATTGGAATTGGGGGAGAAGAGAGGAATCCAAGCCCTGATGGAAAATCCCAAAATAATTCCTGCTATCATTTAATAAAGCATATGGGTCCCTGGGAACAGAGCTGATGTCTGAGTCCAGCTGGCCAGAAAAGCCAATCCCACTAGGGATATAGTCTATGAATTGGGCCTTAAAGGATAGGAAAGATGTTTGACAGGAAAAAGGGTTTTACAAGCAGCAGGAGTGGCATGGGGAAGGAGTGGAAGTGCCTGGGTCACTGGGAAGAGATGACAGATAATGGAACAAGGCCAGGACTTAAGGGGAAGAAGCGAGAAAGAGGAGGAGCACCTAGGTCACGGGGTGTGGCCTGGGCTGCCAAGGGCTGGACTTTGACCACTTGACAGAAGGAGCTAAACCATGCAGGTGTCCAGGAATGGCTGAGATGCTACCATGTGTTTGGGGTAGGGGCTAGTGAGTTGGCCACACAAAGAGTGGACTAGAAAAGACCTCCATGGGGCAAGGCGAACATGGTCCCTTCAGCAGATGTGTGTGAATGCCCTTATGTGCCAGGAGTGGTATTAGGGTTCCAAAGACACTAAAAGGAAAGAGCCCAGCCTTGGCTCCCAAGCAGCTTGCAGACCATTTAGAAGGCTGAAGTGGGAGTCCACAGCAGGAAAAAGCATAAGATGGGAGCCAATTAGCGACAAGGAAAGGTATGGGTTTGAAAGCTCCTTACAAGTCTAGCTTTGCTAGACTTTAGTGGCTAATCAAGTGCTAGGGGGGAATTAGGTGGATGGTATTGCTGACTGGTGAGATGAGGAAGAAGATTGGGGTAGATGATGGGGAAAGATGAAAGTAATTCTAGCCAAATGAGTTTGAGGGGCCAGTGGAACAGCCAAGGAGAGGATCTGTCTTAGTCTCCTAGGGGTGCAGGAACAAAATACCTCAAAGTGGGTGGCTTTAAAAACAGAAACTTATTATCTCACAATTCAGGAAGGTGGCAGGCTGGATTCAGGGCATCAGCAGGGCTTTTCCCTCACTTCTCTTTGCTTCAGTTCCCTCATCTATAAATGGGCATGATAATATTACTACCTCACAAAGGTTTGTAGGAATCCAGTGAGTTAATTTATTTTGTAAAGTTCTTAGAACAGGGCCTAAGTGTGAGCATATAGTGAGCATGTGGTAAGTGTTAGAGCTTACTCTTTTTAATGCTACAATGATTTAGGAATCCTTGCTTCTGTCATTGAAGGATGAGAAAAGCATTTCATAAAGTGCATTTCACCAAACAGTACAAAATACATATCAACCTCTTACTGGTCAATGGTTGGCTGTTCTAACCTTGCATTCAAGCAATAAAGATCTAAAAGACATGCCCCACCCCACATCATACTAACTCAGCTGAGACAGAAAGTAAATGCATCTCTTCAGTAAGAGGTTGATATGTATTTTGTAAGGACAGAAAACAACCCTGTGGCATCTAAGTTTAGGAGAGATGGGTCTTATTCTTGCAGGACATTCAGAGCCTTTAATATATTGATAGCATTGTAGACCTCCAAGAGGGGAAAGAAGTGTTGGTACAGCAGAATGCTCTTTGCAAAGTCTACCTATTAACATCTCCCTTGGAAGGAAGGTTGGGCAATCTACTTTCCTAGTGATATCACCTGGGAAACCCAAGGAGGGGTCACTATGTGTCAGATCTGACTCCATGGCAGTGAGTAGAATGCAGTTTAGGAAATACTGGGCAGAAATACAGTTCTAATGGTGGTACACTTCTTCGTTACCCAAACCCAGACCATGAAAACAAGTGTCTCCGATTGTTGAGTACCTGGCTTTGTGTGGGGGTAGATCCAGGCCCCCTAAGCTCTCTGTGCTCTGTTGCAGTGGAACTTCCCCCTGCTGATGCTGGTGTGGAAGCTGGCACCTGCCCTCTGCTGTGGGAACACTGTAGTTGTGAAGCCGGCAGAGCAGACTCCCCTTACTGCCCTTTATCTCGGCTCTCTGATCAAAGAGGTAAGACATCCAAAAAGAAAATATTATGTGTTCTTGATAACAGGAACCAGGCCACTGCTGCAAGATAAAGCTGCCCTGTCGAACCACCCCGTGGTGCAGTGGTGCCAGCCTGTTCACGGTTCAGTGGGATGAGAATAGCTCCCGTGTTTTGCTTGGCAGCTGCAGTTTCTTTCTCTTGCCTGTGGTCACTGAACTAGAAGAAACTCCATTCCTCCTCGTGATCCTAATGAGAACACTTAACTCTTATTATGGGATCAAACTTATGTTTAGGATCAAATGTTTTGTCTAGAGAATTTGTGGGAGGGTCTCCTATGAGGGAGGCATGAATTTGGGAGGTTAACTGGTCTTTGCATTCCTGCATATAAAATAGTCCCTTTTTCTCCTGTAGGATAAGTGGGTGCAGCAAGGTACGCTCACATCAGCACCTCCTCCCCAGGGTTCTCTGCTCACAGGCAACTGTCTTCTTCCTCAGGGCAGCCACAGCTCAGGGAAACAAGCAGCCAAAAAGGACACTTCCTCCCAGACCCACTGGACAATGTATTTTCATCATTCTATTTCCAGCTTGTATATGGCAAATATTTAGAAAAAGAAATAGAACAAAAAGAGGCATGGGAGAAAAGATGCATTCATTTTCTGTCTCAGCTGAGTTAGTACGATATGGGGCCGGCCACGTCTTTTAGATCTTTATTGCTTGGATGGAAGGTTAGAACAGCCAATCATTGACCAGTTTTCATTTACTAGTGTTGTAGGACTTGATTAATTCACACTGATTTGACTTACAACTTCTAAAATCACCACTGCTTAATATATAGTATCTAGAAAGCCAAGAAGAACAGCTCTCCACAAATGAAGCTTGTTCATTTTGTGGTGTGCAAAGTTAATAGAGAAGCCTTGTACATGCAAGGCATGAAGCCATGAATGCGAAAAACAAAGAAGTAACAATGCCTATCTTCTGGAAGGAGTTTCTGAGTGGTGTAAAGAGTTGATGCATTTGGCAGCTAACTGAAAGGTTGGAGGTTCTAATCCATCTCGAGGTGCCTCAGAAAACAGTTCTTGTGATCTACTTATGAAAACTCAACCACTGAAGACCCAGTGGAGCATAGTTTACTTTGATATACCTGTGCTTGCTACGAGTTGGAGTCAATTCCCCAAAATTGGTACTAGTATATTCCAGAAGGGCCGGTTCTGGGGTGTCACAGGTTGAACAAGAGAAGAACTTTGATGGGGTAATGTCTTGTCACCACTTGGGAAAATCAATTGGGCAGATTGAAAAACAAAAATGGAAGCTTGGGAAGGATATATTTCAGTGCCTTTGAGTATTGGGGGCTATGACCAAAGATTTCTCCTACTGTCCCACAATGGTGCTCTGCTGTGGGAGGGGTGCTGCCATCTTGTGACCTCACTGCATACCTGCTCACAAACAATTCTGGCTGGAGGGTGTGTGCTTCCCCCTGGTTCATCATGCAAACAGAGGGGACATGGGAGAAGAGCCCATCAGGATCCCTGAACTAGGAAAACTCCAGGGCACCCAACCCAGGCAAAATCAGGGTCCACCACTGACCTATGTCTGGACCATGGGGTTGTACATTGCCGGGGCTCAGGCTTCCTAGAGGGTATGCTCTTCTGCTCAGTGACATCTGCAGCCAGGATCTCTCGGCCTGCACATGGCCTTTGGCTGACATTAGTCTGTTCTTCCTCTTACCCACCATCTCTGTTACTTCTCAGGTTGGGTTCCCACCAGGTGTGGTGAATATCGTGACAGGATTTGGGCCCACAGTGGGAGCTGCAATTTCTTCTCACCCTCAGATTGACAAGATAGCCTTCACTGGGTCCACAGAGGTAACTCTTCTGTTGACAAAAGTTACAGTTAATAGATTACTTGAGAATCATGAACTTTTCCTTTGAGAAGCTAAAATGTGAATTTTTTCTTTTAAATTGGACAACTTTTAGTGCATAACCATCAGTTAAAACAAATCATTGGTCCAGTTGTCAAACTAAATAAATACCTGATAGAACTCAGAAGCCTTAGAAGACAAGATTGATAAATAAGATAAAATAATAATGTTAAGATATCGTATGGCAAATGATGTCATAATCAAGATTAAAAGATAAGTAACAAGCTAGGAGAAAAGCAGTTGTAATTTATGAAGCTCTCCACAGGTATAATAGCCTTCATATGTGAAGCACTCCTCCAAATCATGAAAAAACAACAAACTCAGTGGTGAGTAAATGGGCAACTCCAAGAAGAGAAACACTGAATGACCAGTAAACTTACCCTAGTTCACTGGTAATCAGGGAAATACAAATTTAAAATGAAAATCAGAGTGTTCTGCTTTTGTCTATCAGATTGGCAGAAATGGAAATCTGGTCGTGTTGAGAGCATGGAGGAACAGGCACTCACCTATGTTACTGCTAAGATGGAGGGCAACTTGTATTTTCAAGTATGTTAGGGCAATTCTATAAAATATTTTGCAGCCATTACAATAAGATGAGTGTGGAATTCTAATAAGGAAAGGCATCCATGACCTATTGTTGAAGCACCAAAAAACAAACTGTACGAAGTATAAGTAATAGGATTCCATTGTAAAAAGTATATGTGTGTGTGTATGTTTTTTTTTTTTTTGTATGTGTGTCTATGTATGTGTGTAAATTATCTAGAAGTATTCCCAAGAAATATTACCATAGCTTTACCAGCCACCTCTGGGTCTGGTCCTGGGACAAAGTGTGAGGAAATAAAGACTTTCAGGCTTTAATTCGCACACATCTGTATGTGGGATATTTTTTAATGAGAATGTACTTTTTGTGTACTTGAAAAGAATAAAACCCTTGATGCAATAGGTGCTGTCAATTCCCTCCTAGCTGAGTCCAACCAGAAACACGCACTCCTTACATGGCTGTGATAGAGTAGTGCTGCTACTGCCCTACTCTGACAAACTAGGCTGGGTGTCTTATTGATGAGGAGTCAGACTTGGGTCCCCAACATATAGCCAGTACATCACATACATAGGCATTAAAGTAGCAATAAGAAAATCAAACCACAATGAGATACTACTTCACATCCACTGGGATAACTATTGTCAGAAAAATGGAAAATAACAAGTGTTGGTGAGAATGTAAAAACATGTAAACTTTGTTCATTTCTGGTGAGATTGTAGCATGGTGCAGCCAAGGTAGAAAAACAGGCAGTTCCTCAATAAGTTAAACATTAGAATTATCATATGACCTAGCAATTCTATTCCTTGGTATATACACAAGAGACATGACAACAAGGACACACTCAAACAGATACAGGTATACACATGTTCATTGCAGCACTATTCACAATAGCCAATGGGTAGAAACAACCCAATGTCCATCAACAGATGAAAAGATGAACAAAATATTCATACAAGGGAATATCATTCCGTCATCAAGAGAAGTGAAGTCCTGAGACATGCTACAACATGAATGAACTTTGAAAACATTATGCTGAGTGAAATAACTAAGATACAAAAGAATAAATATTGTATGATCCCATATATGAAATATCTAGACTAGACAAATGCATAGAGACAAGTTTATTAGTGGTTACCAGGGGACTTGGGTGTATGTGTATGTGGGGTGGTTAGGGAGTTATTTCTTAATGGGTACTGAATTTCTGTTCAGGGTGATAAAAGAGTTTGGGGACCAAATAGTGGTGATGGTTGCACAGTATTATGAGTGTGAATAATGCCATTGAGTTGTTCACTTAAAAATAGTTAAAATGATGTACTTTTTGTTACATATATTTTACTTTAATAAAAACTTTTTTAAAAATAGCTCATGGTGCTCAACACTCTGACCCAGCAACTCCACATCTGGCCCCAGAGACAGAGGCAGAGAGGAGAAAAGCAGGGCTCCTGCCCTCCAGCTCTTCCTGAATCTGTCCTTGTCCTCTCATCCAGCGTCCAGATGGCCCTTCCTTTCCTCTCGCCAGGCTTCTCTGCAGAGGCTCCCTGAACCCTCTAGGTGACTGTTAGGCTGCCCACAGGTCCAGCCAGATGGTTCCACCCTCAGTGGCCAGGGTCATAGATATAAACGTGGCTCTGTGGTACCAGCCAGAGCTGTACCAGGGATGTCTCTGTACCAGGGATGTTTTTCCACAAGTCTGAGTCCCTAACACCATCTGTAAGCCTCGACCCTGTGCTGACTTATTTGGCTTTTGTTTTCTCCTTGGAGACAAACATTGTTACTGCCAATCTGATCCACACTCATTCAGGCCATGAGCTTGTTGAGCTTTAAAATACACTCACACCTTAAGCCAACCAGTTGCCATCAAGTGGACTCCAACTCATGGTGATCCCATACGTGTCAGAGTAAAATTGTGCACCATAGAGTTTTCAGTGGCTGATTTTTCAGAAGTAGATCATCAGGCCTTTCTCCTGAAGCACTGCTGGGTGGACTCAAACCTCTAACCTTTTAGTTAGCAGCTGAGTATGTTAACCACTTTTACCACCCGTGGACTCCAGACTCACCGCTTAGTGCTGCAGAAACAGCATTCAACTTGGAATAACCCAGCCCTGCCTCTTCTTGCTCAGTGTCTGGCTCTATATCTGTAGGACAGAAGATTAGAGGGAGCCATTTACAAGACGCTTTTTAGCTCTGAAGTTCTTGGCTCCTGGCTTTATTTTCTGCCCACAATCTACCAGAGTAACATATGAGATGACCCTACCATTTAGAGATGCTTCTGGTGGTAGGAGAGGCCCCTTCAGACACATTTGGGAGGCTGAGGTGAGCATTACCATTTAATGAGCAGTATTTCTGTTATTTCATTGGGTCTCAATCCTCTTCTTCCCCTTTTTGTGTTTCCAGAGAATTGGTTCCTTCCTCTGTACTTGGAGGTCCTCTCAGATTACACCAAAGAGCTACACAGGCAGACCCACCTCCCCTACTGAGTTGTTGGAATCTCCTTATTAGAATTTTAGATGTTACTGGCAAGAGGTGGAAGAGCTGCCCCTTGGTATCCTTGAACCCCATATCTGACTAGTGGGACCAGCTTGCTGGGTTCACAGGAATGGGTGGCTAGGACAGGTGACTCTGGACTCAGGAGCTCCTGGGACAGAGGTGCACTGAAGTAGTGACTTCTCTGCCAGCAGCCAGCCGTGTGGCCTGGGGCAAATCACCTGGTCTTCCCAGGCTCCTATCCCACACTTATAAGTGGAGCAGATGGAACCAAGAATTCCAGAGAATGTATGACCTGTGAGCAGATGCAGGCAGAGTCCTGGGGAGCACAATGGCAGGGTCACAGGAGCCTAGGAGGGGACAGGATGGCCCTGGACACATGTCTCTACTACCAGCTTGTCCAGAACACTCACTGATGTAAACATTTGGGCCAAGTTCGAGGTTTAATCTTCACTGTTTTTTATCCTAAAGGTTGGAAAGTTAGTTAAAGAGGCTGCCTCCCGGAGCAATCTGAAGAGGGTGACACTGGAGCTTGGGGGCAAAAACCCATGTATCGTGTGTGCGGATGCTGACTGTGAGTCCTCCATTCTGAGCTCTGCTGGGGCTCATGGGTCCAATCTCTCCCTTTTCCTATGTGTTTTTCTCAGTTGCCCAAATTCAGAACCAATTGAGAGACACATAATCTGGGGATGTTTCCTGTCTGCATCACCCAGCCATAAGTAGGCAGATAGAGATCAAAACACCAGCTTTATGGCTTAGGTGGCAGCCAGAGGGTTGCCTGTTTCTGCCCTTCATGACTAAGTTTACCTTCCTTGGCCCTGTAAAGCTGGGGCCATGAGGAACAGGTCTGTTTCTTCTTCAGAGTCTCCTGGGTTTGCTGAGAGTGGGTGGGGAAGGAGTACAGCAGTTGGGGGAAAGGGCAGGTGCTCCCCCTAATAAGCATTACTTATTCTATCTCCCAAGTCAGGAACATCCTGTAGTGTGGTTTTCAGGCACTCTGAAGAGTTGAGATGTCTCTTTCTTCCTTTGCTTCCAGAACCAATTGGTACAGAGTCAGAGCTGACTTATGGCAACTCCTGTGTAGAACTGTACTCCATAGGGTTTAAAATGGCTGATTTTTCAGAAGTAGATATGAGGACTTTTTCCTCTGAGGCACCTCTGAATGATGAACCTCCAACCAAGACTGTTAGCCATTTGCACCACCCAAGGACTCTTCCTTTGTCTCAGACCTGCCAAATCAGAGGTGGACAATAGGTCATTGACTGAGCATTGGATACTCCCTCATCTGGAGTACTATCCTCTCCTCCCACCATGTCTTCCCTGGAAAAGTAGCCCTGCCTGGCAACTTGAGAGCAGTTAGTGTTTTCTTAGAGCCACATGACACAGTATTAAAATATATACTGTTGTTTCTAGAAGGGGGAAAAAGGGACCACAGTGGGCATTCATTCACCTGCTGACAGGGAACTATCCAGAAGTATGACCTCCAGAGAACAGAAATTACTTTTCCCTTAAAGAAAACCCTCCATTTGCCCACTGGTACCAGAAATTCCTTTCATGAAAAAACAAAAACAAACACAAAAAAATCCATTCCACACTCGGATAAGGTGGTTGTTGTTGTTGTTACGTGCCGTCGAGTCGGCCCCAACTCATAGCGACTGAGGCAGTATCACTATGGAAGTAGATTGCCCAACCTTCCTTCCAAGGAGTGGCTGGTGGGTTTGAACCACCAGCCTTCTGGTTAGCAGTCAAGTGCCTTAGGCACTATGCTACCAGAGCAGATAAGGTTAGCATTGCAAATATCCCTGAGAAAAATGACCCTGGTACAAGTTCTCACTAAAGTATAAATGACTGATATCAGTTCCTTTCCTTAAAGCTGGCTCTGAATGAGAAAGTATACTAAGAGAGGAAACAAGCACTGGAGAAGGAAGACAGGATATGAGAAAGGGAAGGTGGGAGTGAGAATCGATTTTCCATTTCTTGCCTGAGTTAGTGCTCCTTTGCAGAAGCATCATTAGTATTGCTAATGGTTTCTGGAGCCACATGGAGTCATTCTGGGTGTTCCTCCATTGTGACCCACATTTGAAGTTGGGAGCCAGGACCCCTGTTTTGTGTTCTTGGTCCACAATGTCTGGGTGCCACATCTGTCCCTCAGATCTTCACTTTTCCTGCCAGTGAAGAAAACTGCAGGTCAAACACAGGACTTCTTTTTGGGACTGGTTTCACCAGAAGCCATAAACACACACTCTAGTGCCATTCTACTCCTTATCTGGGCAGTGCCTATGTACAAAATTAAATCCTGACATAAGTGGCATCCCAGGCATGATATCAACTGCAACACTACCATTCCCCACCACTGCAGCCACCACCCCTGCTCCCAGCAGCATGCAGGAAATGAATTAGTTCTCTTGGAGGAAGGGCAGTTTAAGTTGGTACCATGCTGTAGAAGATGTAGGAAGTGCAAGAGGGGGCAAGAACATATGAATGCTTTCCTGCTGCTATGACATCGCACACATACCTTGCTGTGGGGGTTCTTGCCTTTGCTTTATGCAAATGGAAGCTGCATTTCTCAAGCAAGCAATGGCTGGGGTGAGGGAGTGGTGAAGGCATGAAGGAGGGCTGAAAAATCAGCCATTGATCGAGCACTAGTAGCCCCTCTATAGTGTAATTGACATCCACTTACCATTCTTACCCATTCAGCATATCCTCACCAGTCTTACTTAATAGCACCCTTCTAACAACAACAACAATCTTGATTTTAAGGAGTTCGGGTGGTGTAGTAAGGAGCTCTGGTGGTATAGTTAGGAGCTCTGGTGGCGCAGTGGATAAGGCATTTGACTGCTAACCAAAAAGTTGGTGGTTTAAACCAACTGCTCTGCAGAAAAAAGATGAGGCAGTCTGCTTCCATAAAGATTTATCGCCTTGGAAACCCAGTGAAGGTCATTATGAGTTGGAATCGACTCGAAGGCAGTGAGTTTGGTTTTTGGCTTTATCTTGATTTTAGCAACTGCTTTTGATTAAATGTTTGCTCTATAATCCATATTCACCTCTGTTCAGCCATATAAGTGCTTTTATTTTTAAAAACCCTTCTAAGTCACACATGATGTTATGTTATTAGTATGTCCTTTTTTTTACTCAAGATGGGAAATTTTTGGCTCCTTGAAAAGTTGTCCAATTGGCCTGCATCAATACTTGTAAAGTTTATTCTATAGAACATTTTTGTTGTTAGTTGGCTCCAACTCATGGTGACCCAGTGCACAGTGGGTTTGGACCATTGTGCTCCATAGGGCATTCATTGGCTAATGTTTTGGAAGTAGATCAACCAGTCCTTTCCTCCTAATCTGTTTTAGTCTGAAATATCCACTATAACCTGTTCAGCATCATAGTAACACACAGGCCTCCACTGATAGATGAGTGGTGGCTGTGCATGAAGTACATTGCCCAAGACTCAAATCTGGGTCCCCTACATGGAAGGCTAGAATTCCACCACTGAACCACCACTGCATTAGTTCTCCAGAAAAGGGGAGTGGGCAATTGACAATGGTCAATGGTACAATATTGTGTGCTCCTTAGCACATTAAAGATATTGGCAAGTCCTGCAGGGATTTAAGCCCAAACTTTGTTGATCTGAAGATCCTCTTCCATTCTATTTATGAAGTACTAAGAACAAAATTAATCTCTGAAATGGAGCCATTTGAGGGCTAGCTTTCTTTCATGATGGAACTCTGGTGGCTCAGTGGTTAAGGCATTCAGCTACTAACCAAAAGGTCAGTGGTTCAAACCTACCAGCTTTTCCATGGGAGAAAGATGAAGGAGTCTTCTTCCATAAAGATTTACAGTCTTAAAACCCTAATGGGACAGTTCTTCTGTCCCATAGGATCACCATGAGTTGGAATGGACTCAATGGCAGTTTGTTTGGTTTTGGTTTTCTTTTGTGGGCAATTAGAGTTGCAACTGCCACCAGTCCTGCTTTAACAACTCACCACTTCCTCCCACCTGCAGTGGACTTGGCCGTGGAGTGTGCCCATCAGGGCGTGTTCTTTAACCAGGGCCAGTGCTGCACAGCGGCATCCAGAGTCTTCGTGGAGGAGCAGATTTATGCTGAGTTTGTCCGGCGCAGCGTGGAGTACACCAAGAAGAGGCCCGTTGGAGACCCCTTTGATGCCAAGACTGAGCAAGGGCCCCAGGTAACCAACTGATGGTTCTGACCCTGAGGTGCCTGGCTGGGGGTTCAGCAGGGCAGCCCCTCTGCCCCTGCAGCCTAGTATACTGTGATTCTATAGCACTGACTTGCCCTGCCACTGAGGCTTGGTTTAGACTCCCATTGAGGATGCAGTCCCTCAGGTCTCTGTGGCCTTAATGAAATGAGACTGGGTGCAAGGAGGCTCTCAGCTCTCTACAATAGATGTTCAGAGAACAGGCTCTTGAGAGAAAGGACCCCCTCATCCATAGCACCATCTGTCTTCACCCTCCTGCTCTCTCAATGTCTCCCCCAACCCCCACCTTCTTCTGGCCTACCCCCACCTCTAGGAGAGAGCCTCAGGTAGAGCGTGACTTACCTGGATGGCCTCCCTGAAGAAGACTGGTCAAAACCCTCTTTCACCAGGAAAAGAGGACCTTGGCTTGAGGTCAACAAGTCCCATGTGGCTGAAAAGTCACAGAGTACAGGCAGGGTCTCTACCTAGAGGCCCTGGACCCCATGTACATTATGGGAAAGGCTACTTTGAAACTAAAGGACCCTGGATATAGAGGTCTGGAATGCATCTCTGGACAGTAGAAACATGTCTCTTGAAGCCTGGTTTGGAGAGCCAGGGGCAGGATGAAAATAATCATAACCACCAGGCTTAATCACCTCTTTAAAAAGGCACATCCTGTATCACTTTCTTGCTAATAATGAAGTGAAGCAGATGGATAAATATTTAAAAGAGGGCAGCCTGACCATCCCATGCATTATTGAAATGGAGCGTGACAGCAACCCACTTTGCTTTTTGCCAAAGTTCTGCCCAACCGTGGAGTTCCAACTCACGTGTCCATGAGTCCTTGGAGAGAGCTTGCCTCTCGCCCACTGCCTCTGTTTGCATGGGAAGCCATGGCTCTGGCTGCAGAGATGGCTCTGTATCTTTGTGAAAGTCCTCAAATTTTCCTAAGCCTCAGTTTCCTCATCTGGAAGTTAGGAATAATAGGTGAATATTATGAGAGTTTTATGGCACTTACTAGACAGTCAATACAGGGTAGGTTTTATTTTTTAAAAGGTGAGCACATAAATATGCCTGAAGTTCCCTCATCTAGGTAGTAATGAGTGACTGTACATGACTTCTGGTCACATCTATAGGCCTTGCTTAACTATCTTGTGGGGATGCTGGGGCTGGTGGAGAGTGGAGAACCACAGGGAAGAGGGTTGCATTTCTGGCTGCAATACTACCCCTTTCCCCAGCCTCCATGCCCTGTGTCTCTGATGCCACGTGGCCCTGTGGAGGAATACCTCCACTGTGGCCAACATGCCTCAGCCCAGTCACTGCCTACCCCAACCCCGCTCCAAATCCAGTGGCCATGGTCAAATTTCAGATCCAAATACAAACATGACCACAAGTCATTATCAAATCCACTGTGATTTTAAGGCTAATCTGGAATTGGTGGGAAATATGCAAGCCAATCCCTGAACTAAGGAAATCTTCTTCCTCCGTCATTATTTGCAAGTCTCTTTCCAAAGCTTCAGTCTTGAATTTTGAAGCCAGATATACAAATCTCTTCCCAAAGAGCTGAGCCAAGCAGAATGGGTGTTGATTTCATCAGTACTTTTGATGCTGCTGCTGAAAGTCCTTGTGAAAGCTCACTTAAGCCATCTAACCTCAGAATATTATTTTAGGACACTGTTGGATTTCTTTCCCTCCAAAGTACTTTTTCAACTACAGTAATAAGATTTTGCTCTGGAGGACTTACAGCTGTCTAAATAGCCCTCTCTGTCTCATGCCTGTAAAACAGCTAACTGACCTAGATCCATGTCCACTAGAGGCGAGCTACTCTCTGGAACACTCTGAAGTTATTCAGGTTTATTTGGCAACTGAGCAACAAGGCACATAAATATTATGCAAACCACCTGGCCGGTGCAGAGTCTGGCATTCACCCGGTCCAGCCGAGAGCAAAGCCTTTGGGTTCAGTCCCTAGGGGGCTGTATTTCTTGGTTTCTGGGGCTGTGCCCTGCCATGTCATCTCACGTCCTGGCAGCTTCCTCTTCCTGCACAGAAGACACCAGCTGAAACTTAATGGAGGAGTCCTAGATTTAAACAATATGTTCATATGGACTCCCCAGGGAGAGTTTAGTTAAGATGTGTAGGGTTTCCACTGGAGGCCTAGCACTGCCGGAAGAACAGATGGACGCTGTGGCTTGGTCATACAGAGGAGATGTGGTCAGCAGCCACCCGGGACATGTCACCTGTAGTTTGATGGAGGCTCTCAAACTCTTCCGCCTCCAGGGAGGAGGAGGCAGTTCAGAAACACCTGGAACTTTTAACCTAAGACTTGGTTTACCCAGGGAAAAGTAGAGACAGTCTAGGGATATTACTGGATCTGTTACAGTTGTTTTATTATTATTATTATTATCATCATTGAGTGAAAGTACATCCACTTGAATTAAAAAAAAAAAATGTGTAACAAAGAGTATAATAAAAAGGCTCCTTCTCACCCCCCATCGCATACACTGGTTCTTACTGACTCCCCTGGAAAGCTCATGTTCTTAGTTTCTCAAGTCTCCTTCTAGAGTATCTTTATGTGTATAAAAGCAAATATGACTATGTACTCTTATTTATTCCATTATCTTTAGACAAAACATACTATGATATCTAAATTATTTTACACCTTGTTTTTGTCCCTTAACAAGAAACTGGAAGACCTTTCTATACCAGACCATAGGAACCTTCCTCATTCTTTGTTACATGTCCATAGGAGTTGATGTATGAATCTGCCATAATTAATTTAAGCAATCATCTCCTGAGGATCTGTGGGTGTGTGCTGCCATACACCATGCTGCAGCGAGTACATGATGTTGCACATGTACAGGGAAAATTCCCAGGACCAAGTCTCCAAAGTGGGATTGCTGACTGGGAATACCGTTGTGATTTCCATACACTACCTTCCTCCAAGAATAAACCACTGTCCATTCCTCCAACGATGTCTTAGCTTGTCTATTTCTCCAGGCTTTCCAGTAGAATACGTTGTTCACCTTTTAGATTTTTGCCTGTCCGATAGTTAACAATGGTATCTTGTTTAATTTTAATATGCATTGATATCTTATAATGAGTAAGGTGGAACATCTTATCATAGGTTGAAAAGCCATTTGCATTTCCTTTTCTATGACCGTGTATTTCCTTTGCATGTATTGTTGGTAGTTTTTCTTGTCAATTCTAGAAACCTATGTCTAGGTATGTGCTACAGAGATTAGGTCTATTTTTATGACTAAAAAAAAAACTAAACCAAACCCACTGCCATCAAGTTGATTCTGACTCATTCCAATCCTATAGGACAGAGTAGAACTGCCCCATAGGGTTTCCAAAGCTGTAAATCTCTATGGAAGCAGACTGCCTCATCTTTCTTCTGTGGAGCAGCTGGTGGGTTCAAACTGCAGATTTCTATGATAAAACCAAAAAAAAAAAAAAAACTGCCATTGAGTGAGATCCAACTCACAGTCACCCCTCCTTGGGTTTCTGAGGTAGTATCACTATGGAAATAGATTGCCTGATCTTTCCAAGGAGTGGCTTGTGGGTTTGAACCACTAACCTTCTGGTTAGTAGTCAAATGCCTTAGGCACTACGCCACCAGAGCTCCTGATTTCTATGGTAGAGTTTTGTCAATCTTTTGTTTCTTAGTTTGTTGTGTTGCCCTGTGGTCTTGCTCCTGATGTATTTACCGCCCCCCCCTTTTTAATTTTTCATACTCTACTGTATCAAACTTTTCTTTTTTTGCTTCTGCATTTTGAGTCATGGAAAGGCCACCAACACTTCAAGTTTGCAGACACATTCTCCTACGGGAGAGAACTTGAAAATGCTATGGTTTCATTTTTCACAGTTACATCTTTGCTCTACCTGAAATTTTTCTTGATGTAAGGTATGAGGTAGAGATCCAGCTCAGTATTTTTAAACTGAATCCATATTCTTTGAGATGACTGGGTAAGCACTCCTCAGGGGAAATCAATCATCCAAATGTGCCATGGAGTTTTGGCTACAGTGAAAGTAGCCAAAGTCTTGGCTACAGTGAACCTATCCAAGCTCTGTCTCTCTCAGCCAAAGAAGAGTAAAAACCAAACCAAACTCACTGCCGTCGTGTCAGATCCAACTCATAGTGAGTTGGGTTTCTGAGGTGGTATCACTACAGAAGTAGATCGCCCAAACGTCCTTCCAAGCAGGCTGGTGGGTCTGAACTGCCACCTTCTGGTTAGTAGTCAAATGCCTTAGGCACTATGCCACCAGAGGTCCCCAGCCAAAGAAGAGGGGACTATTAATATGGTCATGGTAAAGAATAGGGTTCCCATGGAGTTTGGGAGGGTCGGTGGAGGGAGGGAATGTCAGAAAGAGTCTCTCTTCCTTTGAACAGAGGCTCCCAAAGGGATGTCCTTTCAACAACTGCTTAGGTACTATGTCCACCAGCCAGGTGCCAGACCAATGATACAGGGCAAACTCCAATCAGAGAGACCCTGAGACAGGTAGAAAAGGTAGAGTCTTTCTCATGAGCTCATGTCCCACTAAGCAAGGAGCAGCCCCTCTGGCTTACTTTAGGCCCACTCCACTCTGCTGCTAGAAGGTGTTGAGTAAGGTGATCAGCTTTCCTAGTCGCTTCCCCTCTCTACCAAGAACAGACAATTCCAGTAACAGTTACCTTGATCCATGGTGCCAGGTGGGCAGGGCACAGGGGTGCCAAATAAAATACAGGACTCTCAGATTCAAATGTCAGATAAACAGCAAATACATTTTTAGTATAAGTATGTCCCAAGTATTGCTTGGGACATGCTTATGCTAACAAATCGTTTGTGGTTCATCTGATATTAAAATGTAATGCATCATCCTGCATTTATATTTGCTAAATCTGGCAACCCTAGCTGAAGGCAAAGAATTGGGAAAGGAGAGAATGTGATCAGTTTAGACCTCATTTTACTCACAGACTGGATTAACAGGAGGAAGGGCCATCAGACGTATGAATAAACCTCAAGAGGATGAGAATAGTATATTTCCTTATCTTTTCCTTGCTCCAAAGAGCCTTGGATTTGTGCATCAGAAAGATATTTGCATACAAGGGATGCTTGTTACATGGATTATGACTGTCAGGGGTAGGGCAGCTGACAATTTTGAAGGCCTTTGAAAATATAAAATGGCAGCTGGCATCCTGAAGGAAGCCTGGGTTCTACTTCCTGTTTATGTTTTGCAGATTGATCAAAAGCAGTTTGATAAAATCCTAGATCTGATCGAGAGTGGGAAGAAGGAAGGTGCCAAGCTGGAATGTGGGGGCTCAGCCATGGAAGACAGGGGGCTCTTCATCAAACCCACTGTCTTCTCAGAAGTGACTGACAACATGCGGATTGCCAAGGAGGAGGTACATAGGGGCTTCAGCAAAAGCTACTGGCTGTGGGAACAGTGGGCCAAGCTGGAACTGGAGCTTTCAAATAGGAGTTCTTCTCTAGGGTCCAAGCACCCCAAACTCTTCATGATAGAAAGATTTTCTTTTTCCTTGAGACTTTTACCATTTCCTTTCAGAGGCTTAGGGAAGCCATCTTGCCCCCCACCCCCACCCCTGCTGAACCCTGAAAACTATATGGCGGTACGGAGTCTGTCAAAGCCCCTTGTACTTGTTTTCACACATTGCTCATTGTCTCTGGGAAGCAATAGTCCCTTTTGTGTCTTCTGAATACATCCCTGAGTTAGTCATACAACCTGTTAAGGAGGGCTGTGACCACCTGTGAATTCTGTCAGGATTCAAGACTTGGAATCAGGGCCCAAACCTGCTTTCATTCTCCCAAACCAAACTTAAACAACAAGTGTTAATTTAAAGAATGAATCACCGGCAGAAGTCTCATTGACATTTTCTATAATAAACTGGTTAAAGCAATTGCCATCAAATCACTTCCAACTCCTGGTGACTCCATGTGTGTCATAGTAGAACTGTGCTCCATAGGATTTTCAGTGGCTGATTTTTCAGAAGCAGATCTCCAAACCTTTCTTCCAAGGTGCCTCTGGGTGAACCTCCAACATTTTGGTTAGCAGCCAAGTGTATTAACTGTTTGCATCACCCAGAGACTCTTTTCCATTACCCACTAACACTCCACTAACATTGAGTCAATTGCAACTCACAGCCACCCTTTAGGACAGAATAGAATTGCCCCAATAGGTTTCCAAAGCTGTAAATCTTTACAGAAGCAGGCTGCCTCATCTTTTTCCCTTGGATGAGTTGGTGGGTTTGAACCACCAACCTTTTGGTTAGCAGTCAAATGCTTTAACCACTGTGCTACCAGAGCTCCTTTCCATCACAGGCATCCTTAAAAGGATGGAAATTAGGGAGACCTCCATAAGAGTATAAATCTAACTTTGTCTTTCAATTTTACTGCTAAACCAGATGCATAGTGGTTCCTGCACAGCATTAATGGACGGCGAGAGCTTTGTTCTGGGTGGTTAGACACTGGAAGTGGCCTTTGAGACTCATGACAGACTGAATCACTGCCAAGGGCTTCCTGGTGTAGGGACTTTATAGACTTTCTCCCTGAGGACTTTATGGGTTACTAACTGTATCATGATGGCATGTAGCTCAGCTCTTTAAACATTCCTGTGACACAGAGTTCCTAAGGAACCGGGAAAAGTATGTCATTAGGCTGTACAGAGGCCTGAGGGGCTATAGTATTGCCAGACATTGAATCAATTATAAGCTTCATTCAAAATTATCTTTAAATGTTTATCCATTAGCTTTCTCTTTTCTTTTTCTTTGCTGTGGGGAAGGCTGGAATGAACAGTGTCTCATCCCTCTCTTGGTAGTTAATTCTAGAACATTTTAGGGTGTCTTCACTGGTTAAAAACCCAACATAAAGAGGTCCAGACACTGAGTCTCACAGCTGTGCCTGTAGGTACCCTTCCCAATAAACTGAAATCAAACTCATTGCAGTCAAGTTGATTCCAACTCATGGCAACCTCGTGTGTAACAGAGAAGAACTGCTCTGTAGAGGTTTCTTGGCTGTAATCTTTAGGGAAGCTGATCACCAGGCCTTTCTTCTGTGACACAACTGGGTGGATTTAAACCACCAATCTTTTGTCTAGTAGATAAGCACTAACTGTTTGCATCACCCAGGGATGCAATAACCCAATAACCTCCCAATAAAAATTTCCAAAGATTGTATATATTATGTGTATTCTGTGCACCCTGACATGTACAGATTACTCCAAGACCAGGGACCTGTGACAGTAAGAGATCTCATACTCTACATATACCTGTTTTGTTTTTGTTTCATTTTAATCCTTTCCTTCAAATGTCAACAGTCATTTTACTAAAAAGACCTTTGGAAATTCTTTCTCCTCTAGATGTTGTTTTTGTGTGTGTGTGTTTTGGGTATACAAAAAGGGACAAAACTAAGGAAATACCTGCTCAGGGCATAAATTTCCCCTTTGAACATGCCTTTCACTGCCATTCTTGCATTAATTATAGATTTTTGGACCAGTGCAGCCAATACTGAAGTTCAAAAACATTGAAGAAGTGATAAAAAGAGCAAATAGCACTGAATATGGACTCACAGCAGCTGTGTTCACAAAGAACCTGGACAAGGCCCTGAAGCTGGCTTCTGCATTAGAATCTGGGACTGTCTGGTGAGTTGATTTGTGGGTGTATCAGCTTTCCCACATTGCTTATTGCTAGCTTCATGACTCCTTTATTAACAGACAGCTTGTAAATCACATAGGCGCTCTGGTGGTATAGTGGATAAGGCACCTGGCTGTTAACCAGAAGGTCAGCAGTTCAAATCCACCAGCTGCTGCACGGGAGGAAGATGAGGCAATCTACTTCCTTAAAGATTTACCTCCTTGGAAACCCAATGGGGGTCACTATGAGTTGGAATTGACTCAATAGCAGTGGGTTTTGGGTTTTGGTTTATAATCACATATTAAGGGCCAAGCACTATTCTAGTGCTTTGCTCAGTCCTTATGACCACTTCTGAGATAAAATAAAAAAACCAAACACACTGCCATCGAACTGATTCTGACTCATAACAACCCCCTTTGGGCTTCCAAAGTGGTAAATCTTTACGGAAGTAGATTGCCTGGCCTTCCTTCCACAGAGTGGCTGGTGGGTTTGAACTGCCAGCCTTCTGGTTAGCAATCAAATGCCTTAGGCACTGCGCCACCAGAGCTCCTTCCTTCTGAGATAGGTATCATTATGAGCTCCATTTTACAGACAAAGAAATGAAGACACCAAGTAATCAATTATTTGAATGGGGTCACACTTTTGACCACCATGCTGTACTGTTCTTAAACTTCACCTCTTCTAGCTTTAGTCTTGATGCTGATTGCAAAAGCAATGCATGCTCATATATAAACTACAGGTAACAGTCTCTGTTTCACCAGTATTCTGCAGATTACATATTATTATCCCAGTTTTAAAGATGAATAGATTTAGGCTCCAAGAGGTTAAATAACAATCCCAGAGTCATACAACCAAGAAGGAGGAGAACTTTGAGGTCAAGTCTGTTTAATTTCAAAGCTAATTCTTATTCTCCTATACCATCATTTCTACACCCCACAACCACCACCCATTCCCTTCTTACCCCAATGAAAAGCTTTGTACTTAAATATATTCAAACATTAGTTTCTGTAGGAAGGATGTGAATGTAGAAGTTGAAGGCACACTGTGTTTGAATTATTGAAACTTTTAGAAAAGATCATCTATTAGGCAACATTCTGCATCAAGTGCCTTCTAGCTGGTCTCCATTGAATGCCCAGTTGGATCTCCTCCAGGAAATTATGAACATTTTAATTCTTTCCTTAGGATCAACTGCTACAATGCCATCTATGCACAGGCTCCATTTGGTGGCTTTAAAATGTCAGGAAATGGCAGAGAACTGTAAGTATTTCATCACTCTCATCCTGCAGGTTCAATACATAAATGATCTACCAGATTTGAGCAGTAACCCTTTACTCTCTGCCCTGTGTCTTAGTCTGGGCCAGCAGTGCCATGAAGTCAGTGGTCCATTCCATCTGAGGCTGTTTTGGATCCATTCCTTCCTCTTCCCTCTCCTACTCCCTACTTCTGTCCTTCTCCATCTTCCTCCTCCTCCCAAACTCCTTCAGGCCCCAGGATCCACCTGAAGCCTCAAGTCTTTTGTCCTCCCAGTACCCATCAAACTTGGGATGTGTAGTAGATACTTAACATCTACTCACTGGGTGAGGACATAGGCAGAACTGAAAAAGTGCCCTTTTTACCACCAATCTTTTGTCCTACACCAGATGTTGGCCACAAAACCTGGCCTTCAGCAAGGAATATAGGGTCTCCCCATGGCAGGTTCCATACCTCTCCAGATCAGCTATTTGAGCCCAGCAGAGGTCCCAGGAACATGCCTAGGGAGATTCAGGCTCCTTGGTGTCTCTTCAGGAGGCATATAATATCATCACCTACTGGGCCTTTGTAGTCCCATCAGTGTGTTCCCACTGATCTCATACTCCTTCATGTTTCCTTTCTATGTAGCCTGGTGGGAAAATGAGCTCTGCAAATTTATGCTAACTGACAGGTATTCTTATATTTGACACAAGATGAAAGGCATGGGTACAGGGCTAGTTAGCATGTTCTAGGAGTACACATGCAGTGGCCTCCAGCCAGACACTGTCTTCTCTCCTCATGTCCTTGTTGGGGCTCAGAGTTCTATCACCCTTTGTAAACAACTCATGGATAAATCTTTCCATGGAGCCATATGTGACAACATCCCCAGGGCCTTTCCTGGGACATCACTAATGGCTCAGAGTTCTTCCTTTTATTTAAATAGTTTGTATTATGTGTATACAAATGCATTACCTTGTACTTGCTTATACATCCTCCAGTGGGAATAGAATCAGAGGCTTCCCCTTGGCTGGGCTTCTCTGTGGCTGGGCCTCAGAGGGCCATAAGCAGCTTCATTTTTAGATTGTCAATAAAGATGCTAAAACATAACATATTTGCACCCATCCCTGAGCAAATGCTCTTGACCAGTACCCTTCCTCCACCTTGGTCCTTCTTTTTAGTTCATTCCTGACTCGTGATAAAACACCCCCATAACCATCTGAATGTCTGAGTAGAACGTGTCCATTGGTCTCCATCTATTTCCATCCCTGCTTCCCCATTCAGAGAACTTCAGTAATTCTTAGGCATAAAGATCCTTTGTAGAAACCCAGTGTCTTGTTTCTGTTTGCATTCTGGGAACCTCTATGTTGTTGCCTATTCACACCTACCTGCTCACTGGGGATATGAGAGCTTGGCTGGGGTTACCTAGATCCCTTCCGAGGCCCTCCAATAACAGCAGCACTGGCACCCACTAGTACTTGCTGAGCACAGACTTTGTGCCAGACTGTGTCCAACTCTCTGCCCATACTAACTCATTCCACTCTGCAACAGGCTGTGAAATGGATACAGACTGCTGTCCCTGTATTCAGGTGAGGGAACTGGGCCCAGGGAGTCATGTGACTTCCCCAAGGACACTCTGCTAGTGAGAGGAGCAGGATTAAACCCTAGAAACTTGGTCTTAAAACCCACTACAACAGGGGAGACCTTCACAAGCTACCTGAAATACAGCCAACCAGGGCCTGTAGGGTCATTTGTCTCCTTTGTATGACCAAGCCCTCTGATCTGCTGCCTTACCCAGTCAGTTCCTGACAGCTGGAAAGTTGGGGTCCACAGATCACACATAGTCCTCTTCCCGGAGGCCAGGCACAGCTTGTCCCATCAGGAACGTCAGTCCCAAATTAGTGGTTTATAAGAACAGAAAATAAGGAGCTCTGGTGGTGTAGTGTCTAAGGCATTTGACTGCTAACCAGAAGGTTGGTGGTTCAAACCCACCAGCCACTCTGCAGAAGGAAGACCAGGTAATCTACTTCTGTAAAGATTTACTGCCTTGGAAGCCCAGTGGGGGTCACTATGAATCAGAGTCAACTCAATGGCAGTGAATTTTTTTTTTTTTTTTTTTTGGAAGAACAGAAAGTTGTTATCTCATGATTCTGGAATCTGGAAACCCAAATTCAAGGAGTCCACAGGCACATGCTCTCTCTGAAGTCTCTGGGCAAAGATCTTTCCTGTTTCTTCCAGCTTCTCGTAGCCCCAGGCATTTCTTCAGCATGTAGATGCATCTTCACATGGCATCTTCCCTCTGTCTTTCTGTGTCTCTTCTTCTCTTTTATAGAACACCACTCTGATTAGATTAAGACTCCCCCTCATCCAATTTGAACTCATGTTTAACTCGTAAGATCTCTAAAGACTCTATCTCCAAACAAACTCACATTCATAGGCACCAGGAGTTAAGACTTCAACATATCTTTATAGACACAATTCAATTTATAACAGTCACCAAAGCAAATGTCCTTGGATGTAAAAGCTACGTGAAGGGTATGTGGGGCCCACCTGGTGTCTAGTTGGAAGTAATTTATGCTGATTATTTGCCTCATTTGTCTTCCTCATCTGAGTCACCATTTCCCCCCTTACCAACACCCTGAGAGTTCTTTTACAGCCTTGGCTGGCACATAGCAGGGTTTTGAATATTTGCTGAACATGTTCAATGTGTAATCTTGCCAGTTAGCCACAATTGGGACTTTTTTGAGTATCTATTTTTTTAATTCTTGACATGTATTTTCCTAAGGCTTTTGATAACGTATTTAACAATAATTCGCAAGAATCCCAAAACTAACTTTACAATAGGCATCTGTTTCAGTTGTCTCTAAGTAATGACTTCAGCCTGCAATGCAGTTCCTGTTTCGCATGCTGGAGTGTTATGTGGTGCATTCCACGGTTTTCCCCATCCTTGGCCACCCACCCACAGACCCCTCTGGGATCTATTCCTCTTCAGGTCTTGGGATGAGGCCTGCAAGTTTCCCTTCATCTTGGCTACTTTGCTTCTTCATTCTTGGTTTTGTGCTATAGTAAAAATAATTGTCACAGTAACAAAAATTCCCCACAGTAGACATGTGGAAAATCAAAGTCTCCCTCCCCTTTCCCTCAGTCCTATTTGCTAGAGGTAGCCACTCTCTTTAGTCATTCATTTTAGCTATTCATTTGACAAATATTTATTGAGTACCTTTGATATGCCAGGCATGACTAGGCTCTGAGGAGATAGCAGTGACCATCATAAACACCCATCCCTGTCCTTCTAGTGCTGACATCAGTGAGGCTTCATGGGAGAAAGGCAGGGCTCACAGATGGTCTTGAGTACCAGAGTAGGCAAGATGCTGCAGTGGGTCAAGTAGGAGCTGCAAGATCCTGAACTAGGGTGGTGCCTATGGGATAGAAGACATGAAGGATTGATATAATTCATTTTGCAGGAATTATTTCTTACTAAATTTATTAGTTATGTTCTAGTACAACATGATTTCATCATTTTATTTGCTTTTTTTCTTTCTATACCAGTTGACATCAAGTAGACTCTGACACATGATGACAGCATGTGTATCAGAGTACAACTGCGTTGGGTTTTCAATGGCTGATTTTTCAGAAGCACATCACCAGACCTTTCTTCTCGGGTGCCTCTGAGTGGAATCAGGGGTTAATACTCAACATATATTTTGGGGGGATACAATTAAATTCAGGAGCTCTGGTAGCATAGTGCCTAAGGCATTTGACTGCTAACCAGAAGGCAGTTCAAACCCACTAGCCACTCCTCGGAAATAAGGTTGGGCAATCTACTTCCATAGTGATACTGCCTTGGAAATCCAAGGAGGGGTTGCTATGAGTCAGGTCCAACTTGATGGCACATAACAATAACAACAACACAATTAAATTCATGTCCTTGGTTGATATTTTTCCATTCAACAGTTGGTATTTTTCTTATTGATTTGTAAAAATTCTTTATACATTAGGGAAAATAGCATTGTGTCTTTCATACTGAATTAAAAATGTGCAAATGTTATGTTTTTCCTTAGTTTTTCATTTGTCTTTTGGGTTTTTAAATGGAGTTCCTGGTGTGTAAAAGTGGAATTTAGCACACTGTCTATGACTTTATATTTTGTATATTTTATGTTATATTTAGGAAAGATTAGAAAATAATTCATCCAGTATCATGGAATTTTAATAATTTGTCTTAAGAAGCTATCTAAAAATATCTCAAAGATGAATTAATACTGAAGCAACAATACTTTCTACCATTAATTTTTTACCTAGCATATGGTGGGTATTCTCCATGAATTATCTCTAATCATCGTAACTACAAGGAGATGATGGTATTCCCATTTTACACATGATGGAATTGAGGATCAGGGAAGTTAAAGAACATTCCTATACTACATAGTTCTATTCCAGTGCTTCTGCAACTTAAGGATGTATCAGAATCATCTGAAAGGCTTATTAAAATACAAATTGCTGGCTGTTTCAGTTACCTAGTGCTGCTACAACAAAAATGCCTTGAGTAGATGGTTTTAACAGACAGGGATTTATCCTTTTACAGTTTGTTGTTGTTGTTAAGTGCCATTGAGTCATTTCCGACTCATAGCGACCCCATGCACAGCAGAACGAAACACTGCCCGATCCTGCACCAGCCCCACAATCCCTGCTATACTTGAGCCCATCATTGCAGCCACCATGTCAATCCATCTCGTTGAAGGCCTCCCCCTCTTTC